ACGTGTGTATTATAATTGATCGAATGCAAATGGTTGGATGAAAATGTACTTTCTAAAAGTTTAAGTACTATAGTAGCACTTTTCAAAGTTTAGGTACCAAAGTGAGAATAGGTGTGGAGGCAGGCCCAAGGGAGCCATGGGCCCCCTATGGTTCAATAATTCTCACTTGTAATACTCTCTTCCATGTAAATTTCCCCCCTGCCCCACTCCTCACCAAATAGTTGCCCTCTATGGCTCATCCACATTTATCCTCCCCAATCCAGTTTAGGTTTTGGCCCCCTCATGAAAAATTCTTGACTCTTGTTCTAACTCAAAGCGAGACCACCCCTACAATACAAAGTACTAATATGCAATTTATCCTTTTGTTTTATATTAATTTATTAACCAATCTAAGTGCATGAAATATCAATCCTGATTAGCCTAGGTTGGATAGTTTGGGTTTAACTTCGTACTTGGACACTAGGTTTAATTCCTAGTGTTACCCATAGGTTGAGCATACACATAACCCAATCCTCCCAACTTGCACCCCCAATGGGTTGCATCTTTTGAAGGCTTCCTTTAACGAGATAGCATCCACATTTACCATGTAGAATTATAGGCTTGTACCACCCACAACCAAGTAGGGGTATTCATGCTTTGGTTCATTGTAGTTTGCAGTTTGGAAAATATATATACCTATATACATGTATAGGTGTAAGCCATTCATTAGTTAATTTTTATCTTTCACCCAATTAATGAAACAAATTCAACGGAACACAACATAAGYAGAACAAAGAAGATCATGCCTGTAAACATCAACTCTTTAACCATGTCAAACATCTTTCATGCTGAATTTGCACAAACACTTTGATCAAAAGGGTTTCTAGTATGCAAAGGCTATTTTAGTAATTCTCTTGATAATGAGTTTATTATGCAAAGCTTCCAAAATATGATAACCCATTGAGAACAATTGTCAAATAAATCTCTTTCTCTTGAATTGTGAGATGTATTTATTTTCCCTATTGATCAAAGGTCCTAAATCCGCCACTAACTCTATTTTCTTTCACTTGCTATTATTAAACAATTTGAAGCTTTATATCTAACATCATCCTTCGAGGTATGACATAGAGCAGTGCAAGGACCATCTTTTTTTGGTAGCAAAAGTATGTTAGTGACTGCTTTAGTTTAGCTTTGAGAAAGAAGACAATGAACAAGGGAGAGGTCAATCTATTTAATGTATGTGAAGAGTAATTTTGTAATTTTGAAATGCTTCTAGTGCACATGACATCACGTGTGTAAAATTATTGACGGAATGCAAAATGGTTGTATGAAAGTGTACTTTCCAAAAGTTTAGGTATTATAGTAGCACTTTTCAATGTTTAGTACCAAAGTGAATCTAGCAATGGAGGCAGGCCCAAAGCGAGCCATGGTTGCCCCCTATGGCTCATCCGTATTTATCCCCCCCCACCCCCCCACAATCCACTTTGGGTTTTGGTCCCTTCGTAAAAATTCATGGCTCCACCCCTGAGAGAGACTACTTCCAAAGTACAAAGTACTAATATGCAATTTATCCTAATGTTTTATATGGACTTATTAACCAATCTAAGTGCATGAAATTTCAATCCTGATTAGCCCAGGTTGGATAGTTTGGGTTTAACTTCGTATTTGGACCCTAGGTTTAATTCCAAGGGTTAGGCCTAGGTTGAGCATACACGCAACCCAACTTGCCCAACTTACACCCCTAATGCATTGCACATCCTTTTGAGGCTTCCTTTAACGAAATAGCATCAACATTTACCTTGGAGAATTATAGGCTTGTACCACCCACCACCAAGTAGGGGTGTTGATGGTTTGGTTCATCGTAGTTTGCAATTTGGAGAATATATATACTTATATATATGTGTATAGGTGTAAGCCATTCATTGGTTAATTTTTATCTTTCTCCCAGTTGATGAAACAAGTTCAACGGAGCACAAAAAATAAATAGAACAAAGAAGATCATGTCTATAAACATCAACTCTTTAACCATGTCAAACATCCTTCAAGCTGAATTTGCACAAACCCTTTGATCAAAAGGGTTTCTAGTATGCGCAGACTTTATTAGTAATGCTTTTGATAATGAGTTGATTATGCAATGCTTCCAAAATATGATAATCCATTGAGAACAATTGCCAAAGGTATCTCTTTCTCTTGAATTGTGAGATGTATTTATTTTCCCCAATTGATCAAAGGTCCTAAATCCGCAACTGACTCTATTCTCTTTCACTTGTTATTCATTTTGAAACTTTTACATCTACCATCATCCTTCGAGGTATGACATAGAGCAGTGCAATAACCATCTTTTTTGATAGCAAAAGTATGTGAGTAACCACTATAGTTTAGCTTTGAGAAAGAAGAAAATGAACAATGTCTTCCTCCAAAGAAAGAGGGCAATCTATTTAATGTATGCGAAGAGTAATTTTGTAATTTTGAAATATTTCTAATGCACATGACATCATGTGTAAAATAATTAAAGGAATGCAAATGCTTGGATGAAAGTGTACTTTCCAAAAGTTTAGGTACCTAAGTGAGACTAGGTGTGGAGGCAGGCCCAAGGGAACCATGGCCCCGCTATGGTCCAAAAGTTCTCACTTGTAATACTCTCTTTCATGTAAATTTCCCCCCTCCCCCACTCCCCACCCAATGGTTGCCCCCTATTTCTCATCCATATTTATTCTCTTCCCCCTCCCCCCAATCCACTTTAGGTTTTGGTCCCCCTCATAAAAAATCCTTAGCTCCACCCTTGCGTAAGACAACCCCCTATGCAATTTATCCTAACCTTTTATATGGACTTATTAACCAATCTAAGTTCATCAAATTTCAATCCTGATTAATCTAGGTTGGATAGTTTCGGTTTAACTTCGTACTTGGACCCTAGGTTTAATTCCTAGGGTTAGGCCTAGGTTGAGCATACACGCTACCCAACCCGCCCAACTTGCACCCTTAATGCTTTGCATCTTTTCTAGACTTCCTTTAACTAGGTAGTATCCACACTTACCTTGTAGAATTGTAGGCTTGTACCACCCGCCACCAAGTAGGGGTGTTAATGGTTTGGTTCATAGTAGTTTGCATTTTGGAGAATATATATACCTATATATATATGTATAGGTGTAAGCCATTCATTAGTTAATTTGTATCTTTCACCCAACTGATGAAACAGGTTCAATGAAACACGAACATAAATACAACAAAGAATTACATTTTTGTAAACATCAACTCTTTAACCATGCCAAACATGCTTCATGATGAATTTGCACAAATCCTTTGATCAAAAGGGTTTCTAGTATGCAAAGACTTTATTAGTAATGCTCTTGATAATGAGTTGATTATGCAATGCTTCTCAGATATTATAACCCACTGAGAACAATTGTCAAATGTATCTATTTGTCTTGAACTGTGAGATGTATTTATTTTCCCTATTGATCAAAGGTCCTAAATTTGCCTTTGACTCTATTCTCTGTCACTTGTTATTGTTGATCAATTTGAAGTTTTACGTCTACCATCATCTTCGTGGTATGACATAGAGAAATGCAACAACCATCTTTTTTGGTAGAAAAAGTAGTGACCGCTTTAGTTTAGTTGGGAAAAAAGACAATGAACAATGTCTTCCTCCAAAGGAGAGGGCAATCTATTTAATATATGTGAAGAATAATTTTGTAATTTTGAAATATTTCAAATGCACATGACATCACATGTGTAAGATAATTGACGGAATGCAAATGGTTGGATGAAATTGTACTTTCCAAAAGTTTAGATACTATAGTAGCACCTTTCAAAGTTTAGGTACCAAAGTGAGACTAGGTGTGGAGGCAGGCTCAAGGGAGCCATGGCCCCCCTATGGTCCAAATGTTCACACTTATAATACTCTCTTCCATATAAATTTCCCCTCTCCCCCACTCCCCACCAAATGGTTGCCCCCTATGGCTCGTCCATATTTATTCTCCCCCAATCCACTTTAAGTGAGACCACCCCCAAAGTACAAAGTACTAATATGCAATTTATCCTAATGTTTTATATGGACTTACTAACCAATCTAAGTGCATCAAATTTCAATCTTGATTAGCCCAGATTAGATAGTTTGGGTTGAACTTCGTACTTGAACCCTAAATTTAATTTCTAGGGTAGGCTTAGGTTGAGCATGCACGCAACCCAACCTGCCCAACTTGCACCCCTGATGCAGTGCAACTTTTTGAGGCTTCCTTTAACGAGATAGCTTTCACATTTACCTTGTAGAATTATAGGCTTGTACCACCCACCACCAAGTAGGGGTGTTCATGGTTTGGTTCATTGCAGCTTGGGGAATATTTCAAATCGAACTAGTAAAATACAATTTGAGAATTTCTAAAACCAAACCAAATTATAGCACTACAAGAAAAAAGGTCAAAGTCGGCGGTCCTATGACTGCCAGCTTAGGTCTTAAGACCGCTGGCTTAGGTCTAAGGCGGTGGTCATGCGTCCACCCCCTAAGAAGTTGCCGCCATAGATCAAGACCGCTGGCTTAGGTTAAAATGACCACTGCCTTTGATGACTGGTCAAAGGTGGTTCAAGTTGCTCTAAAGCAGCGGTCTTTTGGAACTGCCGGGTTAGCATTAATAAGGCGGCGGTTTTGACTGCCGGCTTAGGTCCTAAAAGACCGCCACCTTAGCTTTTTCTCAATCATCCCTCCCACCTTTAGGTGGCGATTCAAACCGCCAGATTAGATGCTATATGACCGTCGGCTTAGACTTATATGACATTGTTTATGGCAAAGCCAATGGTTGGATGACCGCTGGCTTAGATCTTTTTTTATCAGGTATATTTCGACATTTTTTTTGCACTAGAACTTTTACTAATTCATCACTTTAATACCTGCTTAGTGAAAATCTCATGACATACATAAAAATAACTTAAATAAAAATGTAATTTGAAACAAAATTAATGTATTCAATTAAAAAAACTAATTATTATTATTTCCAAAATAATTATTCAAATACAATATCCAATTGACATAAAAAATACAAGGACTTCAAATCTCTTACCGAGTGCATTCTTGAAAGTAAGAGTAGGCTCAGCTTCTTCTGGTTCTTCTGTTGAAATACAAGGGCAGATCATCTAGTTGGTTCTCAAACAAACACTCTGTGCAATGTCAACTCTTCCCCAGAATTCATTTCACATGCAACACTCTTGATCTGAACTACAAGATCAGCATCTATGCAGTCAATTTCATTCAGTACATCAATCTGCAAAAGCATTAATATGTTATAAAGACTTCAATTACCATGTATCATTGCTTCTAAGATGATTTCACACTAGACCTGTATACCACAAAGCAGAAGTCATGTCATGTGAAAGCAAAAAGAAAGATTTCATAGAAAAATATACCCGGCCCTGAAAGTCTGGCATCTGTTGAAGTGCTTCATCTGACATTTGGTACTTCAGTGCATTAACTTCCTCTACCAAGGGGATGATTTTGTTTGCATACTTGTCCACGCAGACATAGATTTCATAAAGCTGAGATTTACCATTCTTATAATCAACACTACAACGAATTGCAGCTGCATCTTCAAATTCATTGTTAATGGCTTCCTCTACTTCAATCAGACTGTAGTCAACATAATCTGTAGGAATAATACCTGCATATGCCCATGTTGGAGAATACAAAAATACTTAGATAAAATGAGGGAGCAACTCACCATTCTCCCCTAGTATGCTAAGCATATTGTCATCAGATCTAAGTTTCAATGCCCTCTCAAAGTAATCATGCTGACTAAGCGCAGAGCACACTCCATATGTTTTCCATGCACTTTTCCACAAGAACCTCCCATCGTTGCTTGGGCATTTGATGTTAGACCAGTACAAATTAAGTTGATCCAACAGGTCAGAGAACTGTATGGATTTTGATGTCCATAGCTTGAGCTAGTTCTGGTGTGACAAAATTCAAAGAGAGCAAAGAGGAATTTGTTGTTAGATAAAATGAATATTGTACTACCTCATTTTTGTCAAAAGGACTTCTGCTGCATTTCTTGAGTTGTTTTCCATTCTGGGAGAAGGGAATCAAGCTCCTAATAAAGAAGTCTCGGTCTGGCTCCCCAGTCTTTGGAAGGCAGCATCCTGCTTTGCTCTGCCTGCAATATGATCCGGACCACTGAAGATTTATAATCCAAGCTGAGATAAAATGAATCCACAGATAAGATACATCTGACTGTGCAGATCTATAATGATAAAGTGCAAATTCCCTTACTAATATAAAAAGATCAACCAAAAACAAAAATGAGAAATATGTAGAACACTGACAGAGAAAAACACCTTCTTAGCTTTTACATGAAATGCTATATAACAGAACAATGAGGGGAGGATAGAAACTTCTTCAGTGACCTCAACTAATAGCTTAAGCTTTTAGTTTGAAGGGTTCCTTGACATCAAGAAATCTTCGGTGACCTCTAATCACTGCTATATTAACGGAACAATGAGGGGAGGATAGCATCAAGAAATCTTCAGTAGTCCTAGAATAGCATGAACATATCATTAACCAGGATAGTAATAACAGAAATTCAGGCCTGAGTTACCTAAAGTTTCCTCTACAGGTTCATTTTTGTGATAGTTTATTGTAATATTATTCTGATTTTATATATCTGTATCACAAAATTAAATTTACAGAAATTGTGGCATACAGAAAGAAGTTTCTGATCCAAGTTCCAAGTAAAAGAAGAAAAAACATGTTATTAACCGGAGATACAAAGTGCAGTTTGGATAGAATCAGAAATAACATCTGGCCCAACTGTTATGGTGTCTCAATAAAAAAGTGGAAAATTCCTCGTCGTGGAGCAAGCTTCCAATGTCACAAGTGCAGATGAAATTTCCTGCAAAGAAAAGAACTTTTGCAGAATTGCATTCAGGATGGTGCCTCTGACTTCTCAAATTGTACCAATGAACCAACAAGCATGAATCATAACTGCTTCACCGGTGGCACCTATTAGATGCAGTACACGGTCCAATTTCAAATCAGGAACCAACAGAAGACCACAGCCTTCTTAGAGTAAAAAAGAAAAAAATGGAAATCCAGGAAAAATTGGAGAAAAAGGAAGCTAACAATAAGGGTCAATAAACAAATAAGGTTCTAGATTAATCAGTACATAGGAAATCAAGCATGAAATACATGAAATGCATACAACTACAAACAAATCTGTTTTGAAGCATTACCAAATTAAGACTAAAAGTGTGCACTTGAGAGTTTAGACCACCTGAAGATATGCCTCATACTTATTGGATAAGCCCATCAAAGCTTCCTGAAGCAAGTAACTGCCGATCAATGCTGAAGGTGAAACTAGAAACAAAATCCTTAAGCCCTGCATAGAAAAACAAATAGTTAGAATGTGCTCCCTTGAAGCTAAGCTAATCATTTAACTCAGTACAAGTGCAAACTTAATTTGAGAGTTAAGTTTATAAACTCGTTGATTGCTGATAAAGGGTGGATCTTGATAGTTAAAGCAAGAGAGATAAAGCAAAATAGGCTTGAGAAATTAGTAGTCTAATCTATATTCATACTTGGAGACATTTAAGTTTTGAAATTCCAGCTACCATTCTATAACACTTGCAGATTGTTCATTTTCTTTTTTTCCAGAGAATTAATTTAATTAACATGGGGACTGATCAACTAATCAACAATCCAGATCTGCTACCGATACCAACATGTTGGTAGCAAAATTTCTTCTAGCATATTTTATAGCCACACATCTCAAACATCTTTCATACTTGGATGTTGTCATTGATGGGGGTTGTACCATGGAGAAGGCAATCATATTTTAGTTGTGTGGCTACAATCATGTTGTCATTTTAGTAACAAACTTACAGCATCATAAACCAAATTCTGTTTCTACATTTGCCAAGATAAGGAAAGAAATAAAGAGTTTCGAGAATTCTATCTACCATCTGTTTTGGGTTCTCTACCAAGTCTACCCATTAATTTTTTTTTGGGTATTCTAGAAACTACAATTTTGCAAAAAAAAAAAATCCTATAGAATTTTTGGATGATGTCCCAACCTTGGATCCAACCAGGCAACAATCTCTCTCTCTCTCTCTCCCCCTTATCCTTAGTAATTGAGTCACCCATGCTAAAGTTCATTAATGGAAATATTGTACATCCACTAGAAGTGTAAAGTTCAGCAATAGATTTAAGAGAAACAGGGTTGCTCTGTTTCTCTATGGTATTGTACTTGAACTTCAATTTGAA